GATGTTTTATATTTGAAACATGCCATTCTAAAGAGTTGATGAATGCAGCTGTCAGTTCTTCGCCCCGCATCGTAAGCATTGGTAATTGAATGGTAGCATATGGTTGGCAAAATTAAGTAGACTATTCAATGAACAACGGTCAAACTTTCTATAACCATAGGAAATATCTAAAAAAAACCTGTCCATTGTCCGATTCCGAACATATCATAAGCTTATGAATCACTATGAACTACTGATAATACCCAGTGTTCGCAAATTCACACCAATTTAAAAAAAAGGGGAACATAACCTTTGGTATAAGTTGGACACACGTGCCGCTATTATGTTGGAAAACGTAAATTGGTTACAGCTCATGGTGTGGCTTTGATATGTACGTAGTCCGGATCACATCGTTCATGTGATGATATCTGAATCACAGGTGGATATCGTTTTTCGGGTAATAACGCTTTGTCACACGGATGAATTGTAAATTTGTGAAGTGCAACAGGTTTTGATAAATGATCAATTTGTAAATGTATATTGATGTATTCTTGAGGCGCCTCACAATAGCTATAGACAAATATGTGAAATACAGATATAACTGATGTTGTGTAGCATATATAAACAAATACATAGTCAATGAGAATTAAGCAAAATATAAGTCGCTGTACCTGTCGTTGGTTGCATACATGCTTTTGTTTATTCAAATGCATTCAATCGCTCTCTGGAGGAATTCTTGAAACTACATGTAACATCTCCAATTATGATGGTCATATAGTAAATGTCAGTTGTACCTAAGGCGATGTTCTTGTCCCACTATCCTCTTAGGATTATATTTACGATTCTCAGGCGGTGTGTGTCCACGTATGTGACAGAACGTGGTGGTAAGGCGCTAATTTATGTTGGACCTCTTGTAATGTCGAGGATTTGGGGCTCCTCGCTTGACAGTGCACTGCAAAACATGCGAGTCAGCGTGTCACACCTAGAATCTACGACAGGAATGCGACGGTCTCGCTGTTACCTTCGATGTGTAGAAAATCGTATATCACGTATACATAACTTCTATTCATATTTATATGCCAACACAACAAAATAAGTGCAGATATAACTATTCATTACAATAATGGAAACATATATATATATACTTTCAAACACAACATGGACATTGCTTCTATCATTGTGCGACCATATTTGTCCACTGGGAAAAACATTTATATGAAGGAGATTACGGGTATTATATATGATATACATAACATTAGCTGACGGACATGTACTGGCAAAAGAGTAAGGTAACACAATATTATAAAGTAAATCATCACTTAGCCTCAGATAGTTTGGCAACCTTGTCTTGCATTTCCCTCCTACGGGTTCCTATCAAGGTAGCATAGAGCAGTAAAGGTGTCTTAGATTACTAGTGATATGGAATGAGAGTAAATATTATATCGACATAAAACTGTTGCATTCTTTGTTTTAGGGCGCTACTAGATGAACCTCTTGATGTCAGTAGAGTCCTTTAATATCAAAGTTTAGAAGATCAGGGATTGAAACAATTTCAGCCTTGACAATCGCCATCTGGTACGAACATTCCCCAATACACGTACATGTCAATCATAAAATCCAGTTGTTTCTTTCATTTGTGTCAGTGTCTAAATAATATATCACGACTGTCTTAAAAGTTACTCGAAGTATTCAAACGTGTGGTTTTTTATTAAATCTAATGTAATTCTATCTGCTATGAATTGCATCAGTACTTACCATTTCAGGAAGTGTCAAAATTATTGTGCAATGAGTGAAATATGTTGGTTTCTTCACAAGGTTCGTTTGAATACTCGAGCGACCGCATAGTGTTGACTGTAGTTCCTGTTTATCGGTGTTTTTTTATCAGTGCCTAAAACGGTCGGTGAATTTGTTTCGTGTTTGAATCATTATTGTGCCATATTCAACGCTTACTTGAATGTGAATAATGCCCAAATGAGTTGAAACTGTATTTCTTATCTCTCTTTATGCGGATCATCTTAGATTATCTTTTGAGTTATGGGAACTGTTAATTTAAGTTATATTTAGTGCCATTAAGAGAGGCTGACAGTATTCCTCGGGTAGCTGTGGTCAGCAATCCACGTGCGGCGCACGCGTATTACTCCTGTGGCGTTGTTTCCTCTGTTGAAAACACGGTCCTCAATACGAGTGAATAAAAGGAAATTATGTCTAATGTGAAATCGTCAGGAATAGGGTAGGAGCCCAAGGAAGGCCGTTAACAGGGCCAGTTTCTCAAAACTGACGTCTTGCACTGACATAAACCGGAAGCCGTCTGCTAGTCGTACGAGCCCGAGGCGGAAGTCGACTGTTTCTGCTATCTGCTCTAGCCGAAGCCAGATTTCTCCGCGAGCTCCTGGATTGTGAAGATGTTCTACGAACGGATGCTCTTAATTTAGTTATTTTGTCCAAATGAAATTAAAGAAAATACCGCATTGTACGGTCAGTCTTTTGTGTTCTCGAAGTGATCTCCCTATTGTCTTGATAACTGACATTTGTTCGCTGTCCACAAAAGGTTGCAATTAATCCTTGACGAGAAACTCTTTATTGTATTGTGAGTGTGATTACTTGAAAGTGAGATTATATGCTGTCTAAGAGACGACACTAGTTTCGTTACCACGAAAGTGGAAATTATTACCTGAGGTATGGCACTACCAACGTACCCTCCTTTGCAGTTAACGCTTCACAGATACCGCGAGGGTTAGTTGGTGTTTTGGCGTCTTATACACAGAGAACGCACGCTTATTCAGTAGCATAGTTACCTTATAGATCGTGAAATTAAATTCCTACTATGAGACTTGAACTCATAGGGAGATGTTGCTGTTTAAAATTTAATTAAAGATGTCACAGTTTACGAGGAAATAACACATATAGCTTCTCGGATATTGTAACTAATTGTTTAGTTTACACAACGAAGTACGCAGCAATGTAGTAATGTTACTTGACTACACAAGAAACGTAGACAATTAAAGCAAACATGAGATGTAAGGTGTGGGTAACTAAAGCAAATAGACAAGTGTGTTGTCGACATTGACAGCCAATGACATCTAACCGACAGGGCGCTTTAATGTAGCATTAACGCTTGAGTAGGCATTAGCTATTGTCTTAAGTGTTTAAACAGAATACGTTATCAATCCGCCTCCGGTCATCTGTTCACGAAACCAAGAATATCCTTATGGTCATTGTTTCCAGGATAGAATTACTAAGATTAAATATGAACTTTTGATACATTTTAAGACAACATTAACTTTTTTTATTTGAAATGACAAATTATCAATAAATCATAACGGGGAATATGTACGTCTCCAAAGATACTGACATATCTTTCTTCATGTACTGGATTCTCCTTTGTGCTATCAACATGGCATTTTGTTTAATTTTATATTCATAATACTGAGTTTTATTTCACCGTCAAAATACGGTATTATTTTCATAGCCAAAGCTTACTTCCTCGCATTTCAAAGCAGAATATCAGATTTGCAATATAATCGTATGATGCTACACGATATTCTATTGATGATACGGCGAAGTTGTGCGGATCATGAAGATATCATGTAGCGGGTGAAGACACCAGAACAATACATTCGTCTATCAGCTGAGACATTGCAGAAGGCAATAAATTTCCCTTGAAGCTAATTATCACTAATGTTGACAGTAGGACGTCACAGCTATCAAACGCGTATGTTTTTCTTGTCTTACTTCACGAAGAAGTGTTTTGTGCTCTTATACAATAATACAACAATGAATTAAGAACGTAGTTTCATGTCTGATGTATCATTGTACTTTTGTTTTCATTAAATGGTTTAATACCGAAAAATCACAGACTTTATGTATGTCTAAAACCAAAACGTGTAACGTGATACGGGCAATATATTGTATCATTTCATATTGCTAACAGAACGTACAAAACAAGGCGAATACTAATGATAACCTCACGCTCTGATGTAGATTGTATGCGATAGCACATCAGTGGAATATTTGAACGAAACAGTTTGATGGCCATACACAATGCTGTGCTATGGGGGTAATTAATATTTGCATAAAAATAAATGCCAGTATAAAGGAAACACCACCGCTTTACATAAAAATAGATAATCAGCATCTTTGATCAAAGAGGAACAGTTCCGTACTTTCGTTTGTGCGTACAGTAATTGTACTTTTCCCCCAGAATATCATATTTCATATTTGAAAAGCTGCTCTCCGTGACTGCATGAGTTTGCAACGTTCGTTTAACCATAGGTGTTCTATACCTGCTTAATTCAATGGACGTATGTTAACAATTTGCAATACATAATGCAATGCAATTGATAAATTAATTTATTTGTGCTTCACAATTGGTTTTTGCTAACCGTGTACAACAAGATACGGGAGACTGAGGGTTAATCTTCCGTAGAAATGAATCCGTTCAAGCATGACATGTTCCTGTTCAGAAAATTGTGCGTTGCAATAGTACTTATTCTTTGACTGTTGGTTGTCATAGTCGGTTTTCATTTGGTTATACATCAATATGTTAATAAATGTCGAAGCTAATATCATACCGGCCAACATATGGGGTTTAATTTCATATTGACCTCGTGTTAGATCAAGTGATAAAAGTGTTGATGTTGCGAGAAGTATGTATTGTAATCTCGCTTTTTTTCACTCAAATGTTTAGACCTTGTGTTTAATATATGTAAGTGGCTTGTTCCAGCATGTTTGGTAATTACTTGATGCAAAAGATGATTCAGTTAAAGGGATGTTAGTGATATATAAGTTATTCTTTATGACGTGTTTATATCTGTAGGTTTCATACTTATCGTTCATATGTAACAGATCACATGTATATGACATAACTATATAGCATGCACACTACCTATGACTAATTGCAAACTGCTAATCATTCCCGAATATTATCTTCTCGTTTATATCAAAGGTTAGTATATGTTATAACATTGTTACCTTTCCACTTGCTGACATTGTTCATTCATACAACTATGTTATTCTTGTAGGCCACAGTGGAGTGAACCAGTTGGGCGGAGTGTTTGTAAACGGTAGACCATTGCCAGACTCAACAAGACAGAGAATCGTCGAACTTGCCCATAGTGGCGCCAGGCCATGTGACATATCTAGAATTTTGCAAGTATCGAACGGTTGTGTGAGCAAAATTTTGGGCCGATACTACGAGACCGGCTCCATCCGGCCAAGGGCCATTGGTGGCAGCAAACCAAGAGTGGCTACAAATGACGTTGTTTCAAAAATTGCGCAGTTTAAACGCGAGTGCCCGTCTATATTTGCTTGGGAAATCAGAGATCGGCTGCTGTCTGAAGCTGTATGCAATCAAGATAATATTCCAAGTGTGAGTATACATTTGTATATGCCTCTATAATGTATAACATCGTACACTTCGGAGATGACGAAACAGAAATGGTAGGAGCTTTATATAAAGGATGAAGAAACAGATATGTTAGTAGGGAAATGGTAGGAGCTTTATATAAAGGATAAAGAAACATATGTTAGTAGGGAAATGGTAGGAGCTTTATAGAAAGGAAGAAGAAACAGATATGTTAGTAGGGAAATGGTAGGAGCTTTATATAAAGGATGAAGAAACATATGTTTGTAGGGAAATGGTAGGAGCTTTATATAAAGGAAGAAGAAACAGATATGTTAGTAGGGAAATGGTAGGAGCTTTATATAAAGGAAGAAGAAACAGATATGTGAGTAGGGAAATGGTAGGAGCTTTATATAAAGGATGAAGAAACAGATATGTGAGTAGGGAAATGGTAGGAGCTTTATATAAAGGATGAAGAAACAGATATGAGTAGGGAAATGGTAGGAGCTTTATATAAAGGATGAAGAAACAGATATGTGAGTAGGGAAATGGTAGGAGCTTTATATAAAGGATGAAGAAACAGATATGTGAGTAGGGCAATGGTAGGAGCTTTATATAAGTGAGTGAGTGAGTGAGTTAATATTTAACGTCACATTGGCAATATTTCAGCCATATCTTGACGATAGCTTTATGTAAAGGATGAAGAAACATATGTTAGTAGGAAAATGGTAGCTTTATATAAAGGATGAAGAAACATATGTTAGTAGGGAAATGGTAGGAGCTTTATATAAAAGATGAAGAAACAGATATGTGAGTAGGGAAATGATAGGAGCTTTATATAAAGGATGAAGAAACAGATTTATGTTAGTATGGAAATGGTAGGATGTTCCATTGAGCATTATGCAAAGGAATATGCTGCTACTCTTGTGGAGTTATTTAAAGATGTTGGATATGTGAGCCTAAACATTGTGTAAATCATTAAATCAAAAGGAACCTGTTCTAACAATGGCATGATCCAGCAGTCTTGGACCAGATGGTAGCGTTCCCAATATTTGTAACTGTATTCCTTGCCGGGTCTACTGTTATGGGAGGCTATTGTATCAACCATTAAGGAAAATTATATTCCATCACGGTGTATAGAGAATGTTTCATCAATACCTCCATATCACATAGTCACCGTATGGGACATATTTCACCGTAGCCTCGCAGAATGTTCACAAACAATACTGTGGCTTAAAATCTCTATTATGAAAAACTATTTCACAAGATATTAACTTAATGAAAATAGCTTTGAGATAGTGCATGCAACCGCTTTTCCTTGATTAACACCACGGCCTACACGTGAAATCAATATTTTCATTTTAAGGTGCAATACGACTGTCATGTCGCAAGCAATTTTGGAATTTTAAGGTTAAACTGTAATATCCTCCCAGCCAGAACGTCACTGATTCAGACAGGGAAGATGGGCATGCTGGGTCAGAATGACAATCCTCCAATCAAAGTAAACGTTAGGTCACGTGATAATTCAGAAATAACGTCACACAAATTCAGATATACTTTATCGAACCTGTTAAAAAACAGTGTTGTGGTCTTGCTTTGTATCCTTTAGGAACTCCAGAATTCTCGCGTAGCTTTTTATTAGTAGCAAGCCAACACATCTACATCATTCAGAACTTCAAATACAGGGTTTTATATTGGCTGGTGTATTCTTTTGATCTGTGTTTTATTGCTGTGTATCGTTGCAGTGCTACTACAAAACACTTTTTTATTACCTTGTTTTATCGTTTTGTCCACTGGATACCGTTTAGCTCACGAACGAATACTCGTACAGCGCTACGTAGGGAAGCGCTGTGTTGTGGCAATGGTGAAGGCATAATGTGTATTTCATGTAAAGTAGGGTTTAAGTATGGGCAATGGATTAAACCTTTTGTTCACGTGTAGCGACTCGGAAACAGTTAGGATAAAGTGCATTTATAGTATGTAAAAACTAAGTATGGAGGATATTTTACCAAGTTTACTTTAGAATCAAACGCATTTATGTTTGATACATTGTGTATATTTAGTACATTTGTATGCAGAGATACACCATGGCCTTACCTCACTCTCATATTGATCCTTGACCACGCTGAAAACTATGGTTACATCCCCACTCTGAAATGTATGATTGTCAAGTCTTACTGACGAAACTTCAATGTCTCACTGCCAGTAATACTGCTTTGGGATTATCAAAAGGTTACTGTTCGTAGTGATGGGGGATGAATTCTCACATACCTTCAATCATATTACACGACAATGTCCCTTGTCTGTCATGACTTCTGCATACATCCCTTAACACCTGCAGAAAACATAAAATAGGATACATGATAATGCCAAAATAAACACAAACAGCTTATGATAGTTTAACATCGTCGGTGGTGGCAATCCTATATTTAATAGAGACCCTCAGAAACGTAAGGAGAGGTTTCCTGAACTGGCAAACAGAAACTGAGGCTAGAGTCTCTGTTTGGCCTTTGAAAACACACAGCACGACATCTTATGGGGAGTAAAAGAGCAGAGCGCCACCTATAGAGCAGGCATTCTGCTGGAAGCGAGATGACGGCCCCATCTGTTCTCATCAGTGCCCATTGTGGCTCAGCTTCAAAGATGCGCCACAATTGTCCTCAAATGTGTGGTGTTTGCTGGGTAAAGGATATTATATTTAACATGTTTTGTGAGGAAATTGCTGCCCGGATTGAAAGACCCCTTGCAGTGAGCGAAGCCTATACGTGAGGCGAAATTTGGGCTAGCAGGAAACATGCCTATACTCCGGCCCTCCACGCCCCGTAAATCTCACTGTTGGGTTCAGATAAATGCTAAGAAGATAAAGGTTCTGTATGGCGTCAATAAAGTGTCACTACCCTCTACTGATATTTAACGATTCAATAAAGAGCCCTGTTTATGATGGCAAGGGCATACTTATATCCCATCCATCGAGGGGTCCTCTTAGCAGGGTTTCCTGCAGACATAGGGTCAGTGTAAGAGTGATTGGGATTTCCGACCCTGTTTGGACCTTTTCTATCGACACCTATAAAAATTACATGGAATGTAGGCTGTGTATTTGGTCTGGAGTTAAGGTGGCAGGGGATGGCTAATGGGTTTTCTCCTATTATTACAAGGTCGATGATCAAAAGATATATATTCAGCACAAATCATAAACGATGTCGGACAGTCTAAACCTTTGTCGTTTGAAGACATGAAATCAAGGCTTTATATGAGCTTTTGTGACATTCTTTTGACGCCAAATAAAAAAATTAAGTCGTTTATATGCAAGTGACGATATAGGGAGTTGACGGCGGTGAGTTCATGCTTGAGTGCAACTGATCAAATATCAAAGGTGACAGTTGATGTTTCATTGAAGGGCAAATGTCTATTGTATCACATTTGGGTCACATTGTATAACGAGACTAAAGATGACAAGTACTACACCTTACACTGGTATTATACGGGAAAGTGCGTCATACTTTGATATGTCTTCCTGTTAGTTCCGACAATCCCGGCTATTTTGGGAAATGGGTTCGGTCGGACGCGGTGGCTAACAAGAACAAGTTTGAAGTAAAATGTCACAACTTGTAACCTAGTCCTTCAAAATGAATTCTTAATCAGCGAAACGTTTTCCATATTAATATGTCATGTGATGACTCTCGAAAAAGAAATGTTTCTTCATGCGAAGTGGCAGTAGATTTATAAGTAACTAACTGAAGTGGCCATCTTCACTTGTTCGCTTAGCCGTGAAAGTTAATGAAATTGCAAAATTATTACAAATCCCCTCCGCATTCCCCCAAACCGGATTTTCTCTAAGAGACTGATGAGGATGTGCTCGAGGGACAACAAAGGCTGGGAGGACGACATAAGAAGATCTGTTCAGATTTTCCCAGGAATACCTGATAAATTTAATTATCTTAAAATTTGCACTTAATTTCTTTTCTGAATTGGGCGTCCTTACCGTGCAGGTGCGAAGTAGTGTTCGATCATTACTCTGCAATGAAGATCAAATTGAGAGTGAGCTGATTAATTCTCTGATGATTCATAAGAAAGCTCCTGGCTATTCCTCTACATCTTGCAGTAGGAGTAAATTAACAAGAAAATCCCAAAGTATTGCCATTTGTTTGTAAGAATGGCTAGGTAATCCCCTTTGCCAGAACTAATCCAATATTTCTGTGGACTCTCGGTCTTTTTGCATCAGCTATTTAAACAAATACACGAGTAATGGAATCAAATACAGAGGACATGCATTTTAAATGGTAAAATACACTCAGAATTACATGAATCCTTCTCTTCTTCAAAGATTACATTGATAAGGACATTAAGCTGTTTCGTAAGTGACACACACGTATTCATATAAGTATAAGCAAGCATAAACATTCTCCCTTGAATGGAGAACATCTTGAAAGCGCCTTCAGTGTGTCAAATCATAATCCTTTCACACCTAACAGAATCCTTTTTGATGATGTTCCAAGACAATATATATCGAACCTAACTTCATTGTTTATTAACAAGTCATTTAGTAAAGATGTGATTTATACCTTTGAGAATGAGGGAAGTGTGAAGACTCCTTTCTTGTCCAAATTAGTTAGCATGTAAGTAGCGCTGAGTATTAAGCAAACTGATTTTGCCAAAATATACATTGTATAATTTATTATATGTTTTTCAAGATTTTCATCACTTTAGCTTCAGCATCGATTAGATTGGTGCTATTTTCACACCCGGGTTTATGTCTAATCCAAAGTCCTCCATAATAAATGATATTTCACACGTCAAACTGTCAAAGCCTCGACACAATTTTGCTCCTTTGAGAAATATGATGTAACAATGATAAAATATTTAGAAGTACTTTCCCTCTCATAATTTTTCGCCGGTTTAAAGCTATTCATATCTCTTTAAATCTTTGAACATTCAAAAAGGTGAAAAAGAACCCCATAGCTGTAACTGAATCAGGCAGATTCATCAATTTCGAAATGGCCTTTGTAAAATGCAATCCGGTCTCTCCA